CCATCCACATCACACACAATTTACTCTTGATGACATTGTTTTTCTTGAACACTCGGGGATTTTCAGAGTGATACACCAGTAAAGGCTTCACTTTGAAATCCCCACTAGCATTACCACAGAACAAGAGAGTTAGCCTATCCTTCATAGGCTTGTGTCCTGGCAGCACCTTTTCCTCCTGTGTGATGTAGGTCCTCTTTGGCATTTTCTTCCAAAAGAAGCCTGTTTGTCACAATTGAAAACTTGTTGGGGAAGGAATCCTTCAGCCTCTACGCACTCCTTGAATTCATCAACGAATTCTTTGTCCCCACGTTTGTCCAGATTTGCAGCCTTCGCCAGGATGGAACTGATCGTTGATGCAGACTTCCCGTACATCCTGGCGAGATCAGCCATGCATACGCCACTTTTGTACTTTGCTATGAGTTCTTTCTTGAATTCTATCATGTTTCTTGCCTTCTTTAACAATGGGCTGGCACTTGGAACTTTATTTTCCCCCATGGTGGCTTATTTAGCAGTCGCACTCAATAAACAAGCACAAAAAACAATGGATTATTACGAAATGTTTCAGATGAACTCACTGAGTGATTCTCACTCTACGAGAAACAAAGGCAGACTGAGTCACGAATGCATGGGATGCTTTGTGTGGCACTAGAGTGGCCGAGTCACACAGATGTGTTTGGTACGGACCATTTTCAACTCTACGAAAAACGAATGGATGTACAAAAACTGGGACAAAATTTTGACAAAAAGAGTCATAGAAAACCGAATCCTACAAAAACTGGGGCATATGAAAACCAAGGTTCCATTGTACATCAAAGAAAAATAGACATTTTGGCTGTTCTCGCTGTACTAATGCTAGTTGTGGTAAAGAGTACTCACATGATTTACACATGGTCATCACATGGAGGGGCATCCAGAGCATCTCTGTGAGATTCGTCAGGCCAAGGCGATAGTCCAACATCTCTTGATGAATTGTTTGTTTATCAGAGAGCATGGTAACTTTATTTCCGATGTCTTCTCCAACATTTTGACATACTTATTTTGTTCGCCCTTCTCTCTGATGGGAGAACCCTCATGGCTGAATGGTAGAGCATGAGTTCTGTTATTCTTGTACAGTGTAGTACACGAGAATTGAAATGCAGAAGTTGTGAGGAAAATTTTCAAGAGTGTCCTGATGCAAAAAGGAGGAATGTTTCTCTTGGCTCACAGCTCATGTTGCCATCCATTCTTCTGTTTATTTATTGACAATTCTCTCTCTAACTGGCACTAATTTACTTTATCAACTGAGAGCTATTTTTCCTTCCTTCCTCTATGCTAATGTTCTTTATTTAACACCTCTACCATTTTCTCTTTATCATCTCTTTTTGCCTCTGCCATATAGCACTGAATAACCCTTATGATTTTAATGTTTTCTGTGAATATAACAGTATATACTGTATTTTAATCATTTAATATTATTTTTGTCTTCATATTTGTATGTGTAAATGTAATAAATTAATGTTTTCCATGTATTTTCATGAGTAGGTCAGAAATGATTGTCAGAAATTTACTACTGGCTGGCAGTGGAGCTATCCATGATCTAACACCACAGAAGCAGACCGTCTTACACTTAGCAGCAGCACACGATCATCCACATCTAGCCTCCATTTTCATTGAGAATGGTGTTCGTGTTGATTCTGTGGATGACAACCTCAACAATGCTCTTCATGTTGCAGTCAAGGTTTGTAAAATGTGTCTAATTTTATACATCTAAACAAAAGTTGTTATAACCAACTCTGTGAGTTGTTGAAAGCTGTAGGGGATGGGGCCCCTTGTGGCCTATTAGGAATACAACCTACACACTCACATCAGCATGTGCATCTCTGGTTCCTAGCATGGTTTATCTTGCACTGATACACTCACCTATACCTTTGATATACCTTTGAAGAGTTTTGAGAGTTTCACTACACTCTGAGCCCAGCCATGGGCCAGGCTCATCTGGTGCTTGCCTAGGCAATGAGGCTGTTGCTGTTGGAGGCCCGCTACCCTATATATCCATCACAGCCTGGTTGATCTGGCACCTGGTGAAGATACTTGCCCAGTTTCCTCTTGAAGGCTTCTACACTTGTTCCAACCATGTTTCTGATATTTTCTGGTGAGATGTAGAATAGTCTGGGACCCTGAATGTTGATACAGTTTTCCCTTATTGTCCCAACTGCACCCCTGCTCCTCACTGGGTTTATTTTGCACTTCCTCCCATATCTCTCACTATAGTATGTTGTTATGGCAGTGTGCAGATTTGGGACCAGGCTCTCGAGAACTTTCATGTATCTCTCTCTCCTCCGCTCCAGTTAGTACATGTTCAAGACTTGAAGGCGTTTCCAGTAATTTAGGTGTTTTTCTGGTTCAGTGTGAGCCGCAAATGATCTCTGTATTTGTTCTAGCTCTGATATTTCTCTTGCTTTGAATGGGGTCATCAGCACTGAGGAACTCATTGAGGCTGCTCTCCTCATACCTCTGTTTGCATGTTGTTATTTCTGTGGACATGCTAAAATATCCAAAGATGAGCAATAAAATGGCTACCAGAGCTTAAAGAAGACAGACTAGAAGTACTGGATAAACTGTCTTTGGATGATATGAGCAACACAGCAGACAAGATAATTAAATTCAGGATTGTAACAAAATACAGGTCCTCCATCACAAATCCAGCATCATTGGGACCTGTAGTGTGCCAGATTATTGAGTTCGTTGGATTACAGAGTGGTTAGGTTAGAATACACTTAATAAAATTAACAAGCTTAACTTACACAAAGTTCATTGAACATTGCCAAAAATCGAACATTTCCGCTACTTTGAGCTCAATTTCAAGGTACTTTTCATTGTGAAACCAATCAAAATCATATCTATTTCTGTAAGATATCTTCCATTCTATCAAATGAGACCAAAAAAAATGAGAATACAACCATAAAAGCCATACAAAAATATACCTCAAAGAGGCAGCTAATGGCTGAGAAGTGAAGTCCCTTATTTATTGTCTGTTTTTTTTTTTTTTTTATTTTTAGTGTACGTTAAGAAGCATCCTTTCCATCATACATTGCTTAAGTTTCAATAAGATAGCCCAACAAACAACTGAGAAAAAAAAATATTTACCATAAATCATATATGGCAAGCCCAAACCAGGTGCTGGAAATGAGTTACTTTGTCTGACTTTTTTGGGTTATCTTAGGTTCTTTATACATATGCTGCTATGTATGACAATCTATGTAACTGTATTTGTGTATACCTGAATAAACTTAATTATTTACTTACTTCTAGTCTGTCGACACAAGAAACCGCCCATTCACCTATTTCAACTACCCAATAAAGTGGTCAGAAATTGGCAATTTGGCCAATTTCACATAAATTTCAACAGATGCCAATTTCAAAATAGGGTCAAGAATAAACAATGTAGAAATTCCTGGCACTAAAATAACATTTTCTCTGTTTATTAGTCATGGCTCCAGGCCCCTCTTATATTACATGTACTCTTGCTTACAATTTGGAATTTTTATTAACACAACAAAAATAGAAGATTTACTGTTATGCAGACTACTGCATTATTGTAATAATTGTATAAATAATGTCAACCCATTCTTGACTGCGTATTGGAATTTGGACTGGCAGACACACATGTATTAGACAGTGATGCTAAGGAATGGAATATTTCTGCTACTGTGAGTGCAATTTCAAGGTCCTTTTCATCTTGAAAGCAATCAAAATCATATATATTTCTGTAATATATCTTCATTCTATCAAATGAGACAAAAAAAACGAGATTACAACCATAAAAACCATGTGAAAATATACCACTGTGGGACCGCTAATAGCTTAGAAGTGAAGTCAGTTATTTATGGTCTGATTTCTTTCATTTTTGGTGTATGTTAAGAACTATCTTCTCATCATTCATTGCCCAAGTTTCATTTAGATAGCTCAACAAACAACTGAGAGAAAAAATAATTATAATAATAATATCTTTATTTACTACACGTACATGTACATGGTATACAGGCCCAGCTGACATCAGTGACATACTACGATATAGGAAGCCCCTAGTTATGCTAAGCACTTCAGGCAATTTAGGTCAGTGTCCCAGGATAAGACCTACACCAGTCCACTAACACCCAGGTACCCATTTACTGATGTGTGAATATAGACAACAGGTGTAAAGAAACATGCCCAGTGTTTCTACCCTGGCTGGGAATCGAATGTTTACCAAAAATAATATATGGCTAGCCCAAGCCAGGTACTAGAAATAAACCACTTTGACTTTTTTGGGTTATCCTAGGTTCTCTACACATGCTGCTATGTGTGATAATCTATGCAGAGAAAATAGCTTTTTTGTTTCAGTTTTATGGTGCAGTACGAGTGTATATCATAGTTAGCCCTGTGCTATACTTTGTTTTTTCTAATACAGTAGGGCCCCACTTATACAGCAGGTTAGGTTCCAGGCTACTGCCGGAAAGCAGAACGCCATTTTTTCCACTTATAAATGTATATAAATGCCAGGTAACAAGTTTACACTAACATATATTATATTAGGAATAGAACTAAGCATTAAAAACAATAGAAGATAAAATACACACACAGTACACCCATTACTTACCTTAAAATATTTGTAGTCTTAATGTAGGGTAAGAGGTGAGTTTAATTTGTAGGAAGTCAGGTCTGGGAAGTATGGTAGCCAGCCAGGTCAGCCTACCCCACCTGCACGTAATATACTACGATATTTAATTAAAGCTTCCCAGAGCGATAAAATACATATACAATACATGTACATTCATTAATTACCTTAAAATATATGTAGCCTTAACGGAGGGTGAGAGGTGAGCTTTATTTGTAGGAAGTCAGGTTTGGGAAGTATGGGTAGTCAGGAAGGGCAGCCCTCCCCACCTCACCCACATGTAATGTAAACAAATTAGATGAATGTGTTTGGTTTTCATCACTTTACATTGTGTACAAGTTGTCTCCATGTTGATACAGTAGAATAAATAAAGAGAAACACTCCCATTCTCATGTAACACCATTTTTAGAAGAAATGACCCCCCTGAGTGAAGGCATACTTAGGTACAGGTACACATATGTATAATTCTTCTTCTTTCAACGTACCAGGCATATCCCACTGAGGTGGGATGGCCCAAAAGGAAAAATGAAAGTTTCTCCTTTTATATTTAGTAATATATACAGGAGAAGAGGATACTAGCCCCTTGCTCCCGGCAGTTTAGTCGCCTCTAATGACACGCATGGACTTATGGAGGAAGAATTCTGTTCTACTTCCCCATGGAGTTAAGAGGAAATAAACAAGAACAAGAACTAGAAAGAAAATAGAAGAAAACCCAGAGGGGTATGTATATATATGCTTGTACATGTATGTGTAGTGTGACCTAAGTGTAAGTAGAAGTAGCAAGATGTACCTGAAATCTTGCATGTTTAAGAGACAGGAAAAAGGACACCAGCAATCTTACCATCATGTAAAACAATTACAGGCTTTTATTTTACACTCACTTGGCAGAACGGTAGTACCTCCCTGGGCGGTTGCTGTCTACCAACCTACTACCTAGAATATGTATAATTATCAGTTATAATAATAATGTAGGTATGTAATCTGCCTGGGCTACATACCTATACCTACCTACATAGCTACGCAATATTTAATGTGGCCCAGAGCCATATTATTACCATCGACATACCATGCTCACAGAGTTTAATTGTTTCTAACAACTACCTTTAGATGCCATCATAAACAAAGGGAGAAGTAATGAATAATTCATGCTGAGAATTGTAAACAAAAGCGTTATGTATTAAGGGAAGTGATGTAATGTTTTCCCTCTGCCCGGCTACCACACCTCCATTGTATATAAACATAAAATGTTTATATGCTATGTAATGTGTTTCTTATATAATTTTTAAGAAAATATCATAGATGGATTAATGAAAATGTCTATGACTTCCAGCAAGCGTGCGTGAGCGTGTTAGATAGGAGTGAATGGAGACGAATGATACTTGGGACCTGACGATCTGTTGGAGTGTGAGCAGGGTAATATTTAGTGAAGGGATTCAGGGAAACCGGTTATTTTCATATAGTCAGACTTGAGTCCTGGAAATGGGAAGTACAATGCCTGCACTTTAAAGGAGGGGTTTGGGATATTGGCAGTTTGGAGGGATATGTTGTGTATCTTTATACGTATATGCTTCTAATCTAAGCTGTTGTATTCTGAGCACCTCTGCAAAAGCAGTGATAATGTGTGAGTGTGGTGAAAGTGTTGAATGATGATGAAAGTATTTTCTTTTTGGGGATTTTCTTTCTTTTTTGGGTCACCCTGCCTCGGTGGGAGACGACCGACTTGTTAAAAAAAAAAAAAAAAAAAAAAGTCTATATAAAAGTAAAGTAAGACATTTAATGTGCCCAAGAGTGATTATTATTATTAGTATTACGTAATGTTTTCTCTCCACCCGGCAACCACACCTCCATTGCATATAAACAGCATGTTTATATGCTATGGAGGTGTTTCTTATATAATTTTGAAGAAAATATCTTAGATGGATTTATGAAAATGTCTATATTGACATAAAATTAGACATTTAATGTGCCCAAGAGTGATTGTTATTACATAATAGATAGATGTCCTCATGGAGAATGTAAACAAACTATGTGGTGTGCGCCTTATTTGAAAGACCACTTGCCATATAGAAAGTTTTGGTCAT